ATATGCATCTGAAACTTGAATTACTGACAATATTATACGCTGACGACACGTTATTTTCTGTACATATAGATAGAACCCATGATGTTGATGAAATATCGGCAAATATTTGTGCCTCTGCTAAACAGTGGTTTGACTCTAATGAACTGTATATGAATAAAACAAAAATAGAAATTTGTGTATTTTCAAACTATCGTACTGATGCCATTTCTACATCAGAAAGTATAAAATTTTTGGGAGTTCATCTTGAGTCGTCTCTTGCCTGGACCACCCACATCAATAATCTTTGCAACTAACTAGCAAAATATGTTGTATGCCATTAGGCGAATAGCTACAACGGCTGGTCAGAAAGCAACTCTAATGACATACTACGCCTTGTTGCACTCAGCAATGAGTTATGGGTTGCTGTGCTGGGGTAATGCAAGCTACACCCGTCTTCAAAGAGTATTTGTCTTGCAAAAAGCTGCTGTACGTAGCATTGTAACAGCTGAATATAATGAACACTGTAAGCCTTTGTTTGAGAATACAGGAGTCATGACTCTATTCTCACAAATTATCTTTGACAATGTTCTGCATGTCAAAGAAAATTATCACACACTCACAACACACTCGGATATTCACTCCTACAAAACACGCAATGGAAATAATATTGTGCCCGTCTTAAGAAGATTGGAAAAAACCAAATCAATTTGCATCACTCGCTTCAATTTACTTCCTGAAAAAATCAAACATCTGCCACTCAGATTTTTCAGAAAAACAGTGAAAAAACTTCTCACTAAAATGAGCCTGTATACTCTGAGTGAGTGTTACTCTTAAGGATTCGCTTGAAGATACCTAGTGCATCTTTTCCACTTTATATTCCTGTTTCTTTATACGTTAAGAATTTTCAAAATGCATTTCGTACTCTACATTTAATTTTATTGTTACATTTACAGCTTCTTTATGTAACTGTGCAATGTAATAGGTGACTTGTCCAAAATATTTGTATTTTTTATGAGCGCAATAAAGTTCTATTCTATTCTATTCATGTTTGATAGGGTGTTTGTACTACAGAAAAGAGGAGTTAGAAATATGTGTAGAGTTGGATTCAGGGATTCCTATACAGTGTGTAACAACGAAAACTTAACATAGCCGTTTTTGAATATAAAAAGTAAGATTTTTAAAAAAGCTCGGACACGTCGATTTCTAATTGAAGGAGGACGGACACTTTTCAGACCAATCAGATTTTTTTAGTACGCACCCCCTCGGAGGGGTGCGTCCGACGACCCTTATTTAGATAGAGAAAGTAGGTCGAGTGGCACCTTGGTTTAAAGGTCTTTCGAATACCTTTACAACTCTGTTAAAAGAAAATTTTTGTAACGATTAGTTTTCGAGATAATTTGAAGTTGAAATTGCTATGTCAATAATACATTAGATAGACCACTCGGTAACTTGTATGCCTAAATGAAAAAAAAATCTAGCAGTTCTTCTTATCAGTTTTTTGTTAAATGAAATCCCTTTTTTAAAATCAATACCCACTCGTTGTCTTCCAGTTTTCATCAGTACATCGTTCGATTGTTTTGTTTAAACGGGTCGTATATTGTTATTTGTTTAAAAATGTCTACTGCTGAAAGGGTTTCAGTTATTGCTTCATTTTTTGGCAACAACCCAAATGCTAATAGAACATCAATTTTATTCAACGAACAAAACCCTGGTAAACACGTAAGCAAAAATCACGTTCTGGATTTGGTCACACAATTCAGGGAGACAGATTCGGTTTTAAATAAGAAAAGAAATATTAAGAATGAATATTAAGTGAATGACGATAATGCCATTGGAGTGATTGGTCAAGTCATCGTCAATCCCAGGTTAAGTACCAGAGGTTTATCAGCAATGGCCGGAATAAGCCATATTAGCGCATGGAGAATCCTTAAAAACCACAAATACCATCCATACAAAATTAAACTTGTTCATGAACTCAATGAGGATGATTTTGACCGAAGACAGGAGTTTTGTGAGGGCATGAGTGAGATATTATCGCAAAATCCCGAGCTGCTTTATAACATCTGTTTGTCGGACGAAAGCTTATTTTATTTAAATGGTTGCGTGAACCGTCACAATTGCAGTTATTGGTCGGATGAAAACCCAAGACAATGCGCAGAAATACATACCCAACATCCACAAAAGTTGAATGTCTGAGCCGGAATATTAGGCAATCATATTATAGGTCCATTTTTCATTGATGGAAATTTAACCGGTGATTCTTATTTACAACTTCTTGAAGAGGCAATACAACCTCAAATAGTTGAAATAATTGAACAGGATCCAAGATGTCAAGATGAATTTATCCATTTTCAACAAGACGGTGCACCACCCCATTATGCCCAGCGGGTTCGAAATTTTTTGAATAATCATTTTGAAGGACAATGGATTGGCAGAAGAGGTCCAATTGAATGGCCAACACGGCCACTGAACTACTTTTTGTGGGGATATTTGAAGTCTTAAGTTTATGCTACACAGCCAGCCAATTTGGATGAATTACGTCGTAGAATTATTGATGAATGCCCAGCTATAACTCCTGAGATGTTGAATAATGTAAGAGCAAAATTCGAACAAAATCTTTATTGTTGCATGGAGCAAAATGGTGCACATTTTGAACATTTACTCTAAATTTCCTATGTGAGTAACCCTTATTAGGTGTTACTTTTTTGTGTGTGCTTTAAAAACAATCATTGGGATTTATTAACCCTAAAACAGTGTTTTAAACTTTTCTGTGTCATCAGCATTCAAGGAAATCAGCAGGTTGTATTCGTTGTGTAGGTAAGTTTTTAGTATGATTCACTTTTTCATCAGAAGCATAAAATATCCACGTCAAAAGGCAACCTTCATAAGGAGGTGCAACTCAATATACCTAAACTGTAAGGGTGGTAAGCAACACCATTCCCCGAAAAAATCTCCTCGTAATAAACAAATAATTCTTAATTTTTCACGAAATCAAATGGACACGTATTAGCAGGTTGTCATAAAAAGCAAAAAAAAAATTTTTATGAAAGTTCTGAAAGTAAATTGTACCTTGAAAACAATTTGATTTATTTCAAAAAGGGGGTGCGTACTACAAAAAATCTGATTAGTCTGAAAGGTGTCCTCCTTTAATTAGAAATCGACGTATTCGAGCTTTTTTAAAAATCTTACTTTTTATATTCAAAAACAGCTCTGTTAAGTTTTCGTTGTTACACACTGTATAAGTCTGTAAAAAAGCTTCTGATTTCTTCAGACGAATTCTATTCAGAAAGAAATTTAAATTATTCAAACAATCAGTTTCAATTATTGTTTTTCAGTACCTACTGGTATTTGTACTATGTGACTATTTTAACTTTTTGTTTGATGTTTAAATTCAGATCTGAACTGTATAGTTGAAAATGTTTACGAAGTTGATACTTACTTTTATTTTCTATGCATTCACGTTTATATTTTTATGCTTCATAGTTTTTATATTCTTATACTCACATTTACCTATGTGTTGCATGAGAATATTCATTATTATTATTGTTAATGATTTCAATATGTAGCATATACATTATTACTTTTTGACTACTTTTTTACCCCGAAATTCTGAAATCACCAAATGTTTAAATATTACTTTCAATTTGTATAACTTATATTCTTTAAAATAATAACACTTGGACAATATCTTTTAAGTTGTGTATCTTATATTTCTCAGAATAGTGACACTTTGTCAATGAGATTTCATCTTCGACAATAAAGTACATTTTGATTTGATTTGATTAACTATTTTGGTTATTGTTTTCTGAGTAATGTGTGGCAGCAACAACAATAAATGACATTAGGTATAAAAATGTATATGCACCATCTGGATCTCACAATTATAATCCCGTGCTGGGGCTGTAATAAACAGATACTTGGGATTCAACTCAGAAAAATAAAATATATTATAGTTTTGCTAGAGAACAAAGTTTGGGACACAAGTCACGGGTGGGGCTATTGGAAAGTGAAATGATCTCCTCTGATTGATGAAACAATTGCAAATCACAAAAAAAATACAATATTACAGCTTGAAGAAGAACAACTGAATACGAGGTTTAAAGGTGAAGAAGTTATAAACGACAAATATAGCCTACATGATCTCATCAAACAAAAGAAAAACAAAATATGCATTCGGCATCGTCAGTAACGTTTGCGTTGACACAATTAATTTTTTTATGTAGTTTCCTCACATTTTGTCTTCAATCGAGGATTGCCTGCCCGGTATTGACGATGCCTAATATGCTGAAACAGCTACCTACCGGTGGCTCTTAGATTGGAATCAATATTGGTGTGACACTCAAGACAACTTGCCAAGTTTTTATGTCAGTGTTGGTGGTTTGACAAATCAACCGACAATTGCGGTGGCAGAAATTTGGGAAGCTAACCTGGAATGTCATCGAAAAACGAATCCACATGTTTCTAGAAATGATATGAATCAAAAAAGGTTAGTGTAGTCAAGCTGCTGGAAAATAATTCCATGAAAATCAAAAGATAAATGAGTACCATTCTGATCATTCTCATATTGATTTCAATTTAAGAGCCATCGGTCAACAAGTCACCTTAAATCAAACTATGTTAAGTCGCCTATCACTCAAAATCTTTATGAGATGGAAAATTTTTGATGTTGAAGTCGCAGTCACGATGCTTTAAACTTCAATTATCATATAAGTTGCAATTTATTTTCTTATTTGTTGGCTAGTGTAATTAAAATGTATTATTGGTATTGTTGCTGGTCAACTTAATCTTAGGTTTTTTTGACGAAATAGTTTTCAGTCTACGTTACTTATAGCATACTGAATTTTCCATGGTTACTTTTTTCAAATGTCAGCAAACACTACATAAAGCGAATTCACCTTTGGAAATAGATTTGCTACATCATAAATTGCTTCATTCCCCAGACACTTCCACATGTTCATGTTCTTACTCAACAAATAAATCCTCAGAAATGGAACTGATTGTGAGTTTTCTTTACAGGTGAAGTTAGATGAAATCAGTGATCGAGTTATGATGTTCATCTACTTTCCTCTTCACGGACTCGCTATGTCGCATGCCTGTTACAATCCAATAATCTACTGTGTCATGAATTCTAGATTTCGTGAAGCCCTATATGCTCTCCTACGAAATTTTCCTCTGATGGAAAACTGTGGTACACGAACAAATAGTCGTCGTCGTCCAGGTAAGTTGGATAAAAAAGTGGTCACATTTCACCAAATCGCTTAGGATGCATCTGTATCACTTAAGAAGTCTGAGGAGTCTAGTAACTCATTATTCACAATTTTAAATGAAGGCATACTGAATTCATGAAAACGAGACATTTGGATAATAATATTCATTATTCATCTGTGAAAATTACTAGATCTGCTCATCTTCAATTATTAGCAGTTGTCAGATTGTACACATCGTATGTAGGCCATCCACCCTTCACCATTCGACGTCTTCAAAGTATAGCTGGTTTGGTCATCACATATCAATGCAGTTATAAGTGAAGAAAAGATAATTGGAACTTTCTATGTTTTTTACCACTTTTATTTGTAACTAACGTTACTACAATTTCGTCCTATAAGGAAATTTTGAAACGTATACATGAAACTAACAGTTATTGATCACATTAGCCCTTATATAACACAACTGTAGGTAATAATAGAGGTACTTAACTCAATTGAGTACCTGAATTTTGTTCACTAGAAACAATATGGATATGCTAATTTGAAAACCGGTGAGTGAACTAAATCGATTTGATCATTTAACAGGTTGCACCCGCAATGTGTATGCTTGTGAATTTCCAAAGATTCCAAATAACTGAGTTTGCAACCCTTCCTTGCAAAGTGCAAAATTTACGTATCGCTTGGATTCGGGAACTTGTGGTTGCATATATGCATAAGGACAGTTTCAAACTTATACATTAAATAGTTTGATCACATAAGGACATTTTCAAACTTTTACATTGAACAGTTTAACGTATAACTTTGAATATATTTGAAAGGGGCAAAAAACAAAGTAAGTTTCAATTCTCCTTTCTTCATTATGATTTTCTACCACGTAGTAACGGCTACATCCATCATCAATTCACTTATAAATGCATTTCCAGAAGCCTCGTATAGGTATGTAAATATTCGAATGTAGCATTTTGGACTACTGTGTAACATAGAATAACGGTGTTATATAGTTTACTGAAATTGAATTTATAGTAGATTCCTTGTTGGTATCGATCTGAAAGAGACAAAAATGATTGTTAGGAAACATCAAACATTATAAAGTTATCAGATGATTTCTTCAAGCTTTTTGTTTATATTTCGTGAAAAGATTATTGTTTCTCTCTTACGATTTGACAGTATTGCCAGTCGTCAAAATGTGAACTTCAGAAAACGAACAGATGATTGCGGTCGATTGGAACTGTAGGTTACTTTTGGAGACGAAAATATATTTGTTTCATTTGTGTATCGTAGTTTTCAATAATTGTTCATACACTATATTTCAGTCATTAGTAATATATAATTTTTGAAATATAAGTTTTGACAAATTACCGGATCTATTCGTGTTCAGTTTTGGGGCAGCACTTGCTCGTATCAAATAGGCTCAATTAATTTGTCACTCAAAACAAACATTCTGAGATCCAACTGGTTGCTCAATATTGATGTGAGATTCTCGACATTATCCTGAGTTTTCCGGTTTCGAATGGTAACATCAGTGGATGTTTGTTAAACTCGTGTCTTAATGTTGAATATTGTGGGTATTTTGGATATTTCACCGACAACATACTCTTCAGAGGATCCAAGAACAACATCCCTTGCCATTCTTATCTGCAAGATTGAACTTTACTGAGGGTTCCAATTGGATTTTCGTTTTTACTTTTATTTCTGCCCAAAGTTTTTAGTAACTGTTCAAATTTTTTTTTCACCTGAGCTTCATAGTATAGCTTCATCGGCAGTAGAAACGTAGTTTTATTTTGATTATTTTGAATTGCGGTTGGCTGAATTTACGATTCACGCTGAGGGGACATGTTTATTGTATTTTAAGTGAGCAAAAATTGGGATGTATTCATTTTCTATCCGTATTGTTAACCTTCGGCTGATAAGGCTAATTGTACACACACCAATTGTGGAAGGCCGATTTTCTACTGGTCGTCCAAATTCCAATAGTGAACCACATGTGGGAACGGGACCTGGCACGGTGATCGACGCCGATCACCGGTCGGCGTGTGTGCCACATGTGGGAACGGGACCTGGCACGGTGATCGAAACATTAACTTCGTTTTGGTAGTGCGTGCTAATTACGACAACAAAGCAACTGATTGTTTGACCGATAAAAATCCGGTGAGTGTGCAAGCACCCGCTCCAATAAAATATCGGCCAATTTCATACTGGCCGTCCAAAATCGGTGTGTGTGCAACTAGCGTTATGCCTCTCGCACCGACAGATTCAAAATTTCGAGGTATATGCCGTTCTGAATTTTATTTTAATGTGAGTTTCCTAGTACGTTTCGAGAAGGCGGTTGTCTATTCAGTCGTAAGTTGGCAAACGGGTAGTGAGCATCATGAAATCAAAACTTGGAATATTATTTATGATTCGGTTCCAAAAACCGACGTTATCATTGCTGTTATATTTTGAGGTACGTATATTTTGAATGAAAAGAAGAAGAACTCAGGTAAAAATCAACAACATTTGAATAGTAGATAGTAGAGCGTGTAGGGACAGTCTACTTCGAACATGTAACAAACATCATTTTACCAGTATAGTAGGGAGCGGATCATGTAAGGTCGACCGACTTCCGAACACTCAACAGTAATATCCAGATAATGACAAATGAGACTGTCGAAACGTCGGTGAGATAGAAGATAACACATAACACGGATAAAAACCCGGAAACCAGTTCAGCATATTCCTATCCGTGAGAACTTCAGATTTAATATTTCAAAACTTTAAAGGAAGAAGAGGTTGATCAAGAGGAAACACTCAGGTAGAAATCAACAACATTTGAATAGTAGGTAGTAGAGCGTGTAGGGACAGTCTACTTCCGAACATGTAACAAACATCATTTTACCAGTATAGTAGGGAGCGGATCACATAAGGTCGACCGACTTCCGAACACTTAACAGTGATATCCAGATGATGACAAATGAGACTGTCGAACCGTCGGTGAGATTGAAGATGATAGCACATAATACGGATCTAAACTAATTTTTCTTTATTTTCAGTATTTCAATATTAACATATGTTTTCAAAAAGGATTTGAAGCTTTAATAACTTCTACTTATTACATGCGTAATATCACATTTTACCTTCTTTTTTATTTTTTGTACGGTTAGAACGTCTTAGTGGAGGTATTTGTCTCCTCCTGTCATACGTAAATCTCTAAATTTGCCTATACTTGCGGGACATCAAGTTATATCATTTTTGTTGGAGCTCCTCTAGGTTCATTGTTTCTAGGAATGTGTATTGTGCAGTATAATGAATGTTGGGTCTTGTTGTGTTTTGATTTGTATTTGTTCCTCGATAAGTAATTTATGACTTTTGAATGTATGGATGTATAGGTTTTTCCTGGTTTCATTATCATGTGATGATGATGAACCGTTTTCTGGGTTTCGCTCCATGTTCTCTTTTTTGATCGACATAAGGATTATTTCCATAAAGTTTCGGCAAAATCACATGTGCCATCTTTTTGTGGTGTCTGGAGTTCAGAACTAGACTAGACTATACTAGACATGGCCTTTGGGCGTCCATCAAACATCCATTAAAGTAATTCTCCAATTCCGGTTTCGCTTTGAAGATCTATTATGACGTACAGGAAGGCGCTTTCTTTAATATTCTCTGAAAATGTCATTCATCATTAAATATACAACTGGAAAAATTTCATGTATTGTTCAAATCTCTTTCGAAATGATTTGAAATGGATATTTCTTGTATATTCTGATGATCCTGACAAATAGTTAATCCGATAGATTCTACTTCAGGTAATGTCACTCTAGGTGCAGAAAAATTTCAATATTCACAAAAATAAAAACCAGTTGCGCAATTAAAAAGGAATCAAGAACTTTCTGTAGTTCAAGTTATTTCATAGTCCATAGTCATCATTTCGTAAGTTAATTTGAGTCAAGAGCTCTATCTCTCCTTCGAATATTTGATTGAAAATTCCATTTCAGACAATACTCCATAGTGCTCTAGAACAAGAGAAGAAATATATTCAGGGAAACACTGAGGAATTTGCAGTGACCGAAACATACAAAATTGCAAGATATTTTGTTCTGATAGAGTATTTTTATAACAAAACGAATAAATTATTGAAATATGAAGAAGTTTCGAGAAGCCTAAAATGCTGAAAAAGTCGTGCATTTTCTATTCTTCGACTTTCAGTTACAAGAAATAAATTTATACTTCTGATAGAAAATCAATACAGTGCAGTTTCCTCAAATATTGTTCTCGAACTCAATTTAATCCAAACTTTTGCAAGTGGTCAATATTTTTCTTGACATTTCTGATACTCTTTTATATTGGATTGATTTCGAAAGTTACTCATGAATGAAATATCGTTGAGTGAAACTGGTAAGCCACTTCCACACGAGGGTTTATTTCATATTTACAGAGTCTATTGATATACTCAGCCAGAATTGTTACTGGTGGGTAAACTTATTTTCTTTACATTTTCCTCACTTCTGATACTCTTCATTGACTGATTGATTGAAAACATATTTCAAAAGTAAAAGTTATTCGTTGATAATTCTTATCAAGTCAATCTTTTGAAATTTCCTCTGAAAAGAAACTGGGTGAAATATCTTTCCAGGAATATTCCAAAGTTCGTCGTGCAATTGGTCAGGTTATTTCCACTAGACCAGGATTCACTGTGAAAGAACATTGATAGTAGTGGGTGTTTCAATATTCATTCAAAAGATTATTACTCTGACATGAGATTCGAAAAATATATAAATAACGAGTTACAACGAGCGTACTGAAGTACTAGAAAATTATATCCAATAATTTATGTCTGCCACATTTCCATTTCGAAAAGGTATGATGTGGAACATTGAAATAATTACCTGTGAATTACATTATTGCCCTCATTCTCTTTGAGAATTCAAAACGCTAATGGACAATAAAAAAAACATTATGTGTTTCTATATTACAAAGTAAAAACAAAATATACTCCTCTACATATATAGTAGAGTAGCATTCCTTACATATG